AGTGAGAGAATCTACATCGTCATGCTAATACCCATCCAGTAAGGTGTCGTCTTTCAAGGGGGGCATGTGTTGACACAGGCCCACGTAACCTTGGCAACCGGCAATTGCTGTGGGTGCAGATGAAGCATGTTGTGGAGGCGAGCAATTATCCAGTAAGAGCCCTCCCCTGAATCATCACATAAAGACACAGAAACACGTGCACAGGAGGAGACACACACACACACACACACACACAGGAACATGGGGGGGGGTCACATGACGGGAAATGTTTGAAACATTCAACAACATTTGTTTTCTCTCGCGGCTATTTACTGATCCATTCTCTAAAAAGACCCTGCCTCCTTTTCCTCTGGCACCATTCCTTCTATTCCCAATCTTGCTTTTCCTTTCCTCTTCTTCATCCTCCCTTCTCATTCTCCACTCTCTCGCAGCGTGAGTGCTAGCTAGGGCTCAGCGGGTCTTCAAGAGGTATGACAAACCACATACACACACACACACACACACACACCGTACAAAGCTGTGATGCAAGGGATGCAAGGGAGACAGAAAAACAGGAAAAAAACATGCTGAGCCCAAACACACCCACTCAGCTACTGCTCCTCCTATCTCTTCTCTAATAATCTCTCTCACTTTCATTCTCCTTGTGTTGTTCTTGTCTGTAGTTGATTCAGACAGTGCAGTCACTTAACAAGGACAAGAGAAGCACACTTTAGTTATTAGAACGTTTGCTAATAACCTCCCACACAACACAGTCTGGCAGGCTGTTTTAAAGCCAGTTTTGCAGGGTTTTTATTTTCTGTTTCAGACCCAACAAACATAAAAAATGTGTTACTGTAAGGAAACTGCTGACAGGGCTGAGACTTAGCGCACAGTTTGGGCTTTAAAAAAAAAACTTAACTGAGACAAAGGTCCTTAAAGTTTGGGAACAAGTGAGTTTGTGTTGTCTATCCCATGAGGTTTGTCCAGCTAAAAGCCACATAAAGAAACATGGGTATGACATTTGCAGGGCAATTAGAACAACCCATCATCTGAAAAGAAAAGGCTATAAAATAACTTCTTGCAGAAAAAGAAAGTTATATAATGATGAAATATTGTTCCTACTTGGATCTTTTTTTTTTTTAAATTCTGGGCTTTTTTATGCCTTCATTTCAGAGACCGGACAGTGGATTCAGAAACTGGGGAGAGATAAAGAGAGAGAGAGAGAGAGAGAGAGCGGGGATCGGATCAGATCAGATTAAAAAATGTAAAGAGAAAATGCCAGATTTGATTTGCCTCACTGTTTAAGCCTTTTAAACTTGCATAGATAAAATCCTTGTACAAACACTTTCCTCTTCTATTGCCAACTTTATTTATTCTTTGTATGTAGGAGATGTGGATTACTATATGCAACTGTAGCCTACATTGATCATTTGTAGTGTTTTTTTGTTTTTGTTCATTATAATGACCCTTAAGCTAAATGTATGCAGCAATCAAGCCAAAAACTAATTTACTACTAAGAACAGTTCAGTGGGGCGGCACGATGGTGACGTGCTTAGCGCTGTCACTTCCGATTCAAATCCCCATCGGACGAGACCTTTCTGTGTTCAGTTTGCATGTTCTCCCTGGGCAGTCATGGCTTCCCTTTGGGTACTCCGGCTTCCTCCCACAGTCCAAAAGACAATAATTGGTGACTCTGATTTGCCTGTAGGTGTGAGTATGACTGGTTGTTTGTCTCTGTATGTCAGCCCTGTGATTAACTGGGGACCAGTCCAGGGTGTACCCGCCTCTGGCCCAATGACAGCTGGAACGGGCTCCAGCCACCCACGACCCCAAAGGGATAAGCGGTATAGACAACGATAGTATCGTATCGAGTTGCATTGTGTTGTGTCCTGTCATTTCGTATGGTTTTGTATGGTATCACATCATAGTATGACATCATATCTTATGTCATGGTATATATGTTCACAGTGTTTAAATACATGATGGGGTTTAAACGTAGCTTTAGAGATATGGATCTTTTTTTCTATTATTAATCGTATTAATTATCTTTTTTTCAAATGTATTCCAATTGATTAACCCTGCTTTGGAAGGTGATCACCCTGAACAGTTTGGATGGTGAGAGCTCGTCAGCCTGTCTGTGTGCAAAACTGACACAGCCACTGTCACCATTAAGCCACATTTAGCCAGGAGCTGCTGTTAATCACCCACTCTGTTTATAACTCAAGGTGTTTGCACGATCATTATGAAGCTTGGTATTCATGTCAGGATCTCTATTTTGAAAATGCATGACACACTCCGCAGCCCGGGTACCAAGGACGCAGGTTCTGGCAGCCACAGGGGACAAAGCAGTTAACTGCTTTGTTTCTGCCCTTGATGAATTTACAGGATATAAGTCAAGAAGCAGTGGGACATTCAAAACAGCCACAAGACAGTTTTGAATGCTTTGGCTTTATAAACCAGAGTTTTGGTGAGTTTGAAAATATTAAAATCACTATCTATATATAAGATGAGTATATGCTACTTTTGGTATGTGACCCATACTGGGAGCTGCTTTAATGATGACCTGAAATTGAAAACAATCTTTATTACATATTAACAGCTTTATACCTGATAATTGCATGCTGTTCAAATAGCTTGAATCAATTAAAGGTTTGTGTGAGATAAAACAGATTCTCAAATCATGAATGTACACTTGGAGTAGAGATGCTCACAGGTGCTGAGAAGAGCAAACAAAAAGACTCAATAGCAGCATGCTAGCGCTCAGTCGACCTTAACATCTGTGCTTATTACTGGTATGTGCATTTTAACGGCAGGGCGAATACAGATGGAAGTCGATCACCGGTTTAAGTTTTGAAAACAGAGAATATGGTGACACAGAGTGTATCAAAAAGATATACTGTGATGTAGAATATACGTTGTAATGAAGACTGGCGATTGAGTTTAAAGATGGGGAGAAACTGACAGAGGTCTACAGGGATTTAAGAAGCAGAGGCAACAACAAAAATAGGGAGTTTTGTGACAAGAACTTGAGACTGCCGACGCCACATATATGATCAGAAAACACATTTTCCCAATCATTTCCATTGGAAACATTTGGTAAAAGGATTCTACTGGCCAATATGGACCGCAGGTGCAGCAAGCTTAAAATGTTCAAATGTAGAAACGGCATTGTTTTAAGACAGACTTGAAAAACCTAAGAGGAGAGTATAGAGTAGAGGGAGGAGTGGAGGGAAGTTGAGCTGCTGTCAGTTATGCTCAGATGCTTCTTTCCATGTAAAACTGTTTCTGTATAGCTCCTGTTCCTCTGGTATCCTCACCTGATCACTGATTCCTCTCTTCTCCTATCGCTCTCTCTATCCTTCTTGCTGTATGTTTCTCATTAACTCTTCCTCTTCCCCTCTCTCTCTCTCTTTCTCAACCACTCTGCCACACTCCACTGGCTCCAGCAAACGGCTCCCCTGTCATATTATCTCTCTCTCACACACACACACACACACACACACACACACACACACACACACACACACCAGCAACACATACTCTCACCAGTTAAACACACACACACACGACACACAGATGCCTACAAACTCTGCAAAGGAGAAATACAAGCATATAAAGAATATGCTGTTTACTCACAAAATCCCCCATATATGCTGTTCTGACAGGGCACATGTACACACAGTTGTAGACACCAAACACGCACACACACACACACACACACACTCTTAAACACACACACACACACACACACTTACACCAAGGCTACTCCAGGGTTGAAAGAGTCCCACTGCAGCGGATGAGGGGATGAAAACTACAACTTGCTAAAGAGTAAAAAAAAGAAAAGAAAAGAAAAGTCATATTCCCTCTTTGTTGGCTGCAATATTTGATCTAATTTCAGGCCTTGAAACTTCCAATGAGCAATTTTGAAACGATCTACTAGCCTATATATCGATGGAATATATTGTCACACACAGAAAGGCTGAGACTTAAACTTACTTCAAATATCAAAACATAAGAGGTGCCAGATGTGAAACGGCTGCTTCAAAGTGATTATTTTGGTGCTTTATGCGAGACACATGAGAGGAAAAAGTCTGAAGCAGATTTCGCAGATTATTTGAGTTTATCTCCACAGTCATTTGAGGACATAACAAATATATTCATTGTCTTTGTGTACACAATATATCAACTGGCAGATGCAGTGTAGCAGATGTAACACAGGCTGTTTATTTTCTCAAACAGATCTAAGATATTGTCTGTACGGAGGTTCACACACTCATGGCGAACACACACTCAAACAAATGCACATACACTATATAGCACAAAGCACTTAGGATGAATAAAATATTTTGTATTAATAAAAGTTATGCCATTTGTTTTGTTTTAGGCTATTGCAGGTTTTTGACGAGCCAGTGAATCCTCTACATTTCACAAATCATGTATGATGGCTATCTACAAATGTAAACTCTTTAGATGTTGAAATAAGGTTAATGAAAGAGGGGAAAGAGGGAGTTAAGGCAACAAAGCAAAAAAAAAAAAAAGCTCTATTCTGCTCTGTGGCCCTTCTGGAGAATCTCCACCACAATTTCTACAACTACAACGACAACATCGCAATAAAAAAACTTCTAAATGTTGCAGCCAAGTAAGCAGACTCTGACTTCTCCAGTTTGGCTTCCCTGTGTATCCTGTGTGGTCCGCTTAAAGGGTTAAAGCCCAAAGTGAACTGAATTGTAAGAAGTTGGTTTCCAAGGGAAACTGTTCGCACCGTTCCAGCTGAGGCGGAACAAACCAACTGCCTGACATGGCGGGGATGTGGGGGGGGGGGACTCGATCATGTTTTTCCAAATATATTCAACAGAACATTAGTTGTTAAATAATAGCACACAGATTTCAGCGCGTTTGGATATTCCTAAGCAGTCTATAGGTGTTTTTGTCGTTGTTAATTCATTTTTTCGTCACATTAACTGAACATTAAAACGCTGTCGCACCCCTCCCGTACAGCTAGAGTGCTGGAGTCCCTGCCAAGTCGGTTTGAAAAGAGCAGACAAAGGCTTTGAGCTCAGGACGCCCCTCTCTCTTACACACTCTGCCTTCAAAGCAAATCTAGCGCTGTCTTCGCTGCTTTTTCTACCATGGAAATGTTTCCTATTCGGTGGCGGTAAGAGTGCGGGCTTTATTTTTTTTACTTTCTTACACTGAAATGCACGACCGTCTGGATCCCCGCTCGGCCGAGAGAGGGCGGCTTTTTGTGGGTATAATACAAGGAAGCGTCGTCTGAGAGAGAGGGAGAGAGAGAGAGAGAGAGAGAGAGAGGGGGAAGGATTGACGCTTTTTTCCTCCTCTCCTCCTCCTTCTTCTTCCTTTCACCACCCTCTCCTCCTCTCTCTTTTTTTTTTTTTGGCGGAGAGAGGAGTTCAGGCAGGAGTAAATGCTTTTTTTGTTTTTCTTTCTTAATTTCCTTTTTTTTTTTTTTTTTTTTAAATGCATTTGAATTCTACTGCGCAACCAGACCGGATCACGTGGGGTTGGAGAGAGTTGGATCGATTTCGTACAGTTCAGTGTGAGAAAGAGAGAAAAAGGAACAACCAACTCCTATATCTTCTTATTTTATACTTCTGTGGATAACTGGAACTGTTGATACTTTTGCATAAATACAGGAGAAGTGGGGGGTAGTTTGACTTGCTTCTTTTTTCAGCCTTGGAGGTGTGGAGTATTGAGTCTTATATGCCTGGGGTTTGAAAAACAATGGAGACGCACATTTCGTGCCTCTTCCCGGAAATTTTGGCCATGATTTTCAGCTATCTGGACGTGAGGGACAAAGGCAGGGTAGCCCAAGTGTGCATAGCTTGGAGGGATGCATCCTACCACAAGTCAGTGTGGAGGGGGGTGGAAGCCAAGCTGCACCTCCGCCGGGCCAATCCCTCTCTGTTCCCCAGCCTCCAGGCCAGGGGCATCCGGAGGGTCCAGATCCTGTCCCTGCGCCGCAGCTTAAGCTACGTGATCCAGGGGATGCCTAACATTGAGTCCCTCAATCTGTCTGGCTGCTACAACCTCACTGACAACGGGCTGGGTCATGCGTTTGTGCAGGAGATCCCATCGCTGAAGGTTTTGAACCTGAGTCTGTGCAAGCAGATCACAGACTCCAGTCTGGGCAGGATAGCTCAGTACCTGAAGAACCTGGAGGTGCTGGAGCTCGGCGGATGCAGCAACATCACCAACACTGGGCTCCTCTTGATAGCTTGGGGCCTCCACAGACTCAAGAGCCTCAACCTGAGGTCCTGCAGGCATGTCTCTGACGTGGGGATTGGACATTTGGCGGGCATGACTCGCAGTGCGGCTGAGGGCTGCTTGAACTTGGAGTATCTGACCCTCCAGGACTGTCAGAAACTCACAGACTTGTCACTCAAACACATTTCCAAGGGGCTGACCAAGCTGAGGGTGCTGAACCTCAGCTTCTGCGGAGGGATCTCGGATGCGGGTATGATCCACCTCTCGCACATGGCGTCCCTGTGGAGCCTCAACCTACGCTCCTGTGACAATATCAGTGACACGGGGACCATGCACCTTGCCATGGGCACCCTGAGACTTTCTGGGCTAGATGTTTCGTTTTGCGACAAGATAGGGGACCAGACATTGGCGTACATCGCCCAGGGGCTCTACCAGCTCAAGTCCCTGTCCCTGTGCTCGTGTCACATCTCAGACGACGGGATAAACCGGATGGTGAGGCAGATGCACGAGCTGAGGACCCTAAACATTGGACAGTGTGTTCGCATCACGGACAAAGGGCTGGAGCTCATAGCCGACCACCTGACCCAGCTGGCAGGCATCGACCTGTATGGATGTACCAAGATCACCAAGAGGGGACTGGAGAGGATCACACAGCTCCCCTGCCTTAAAGTGTTGAACCTGGGACTCTGGCAGATGACAGAGAGTGAGAAAGTGAGGTGATTGGAAATGTGTTGTTGTGTTCTTTTTGGTTCTTTTTGTTTCTGTATGGGTAGGGGCATAAGTAGATGGGCATGGGACATTTCTTTTCTTATTTCAAAAAGAGAGAAAACCTCCCTTTCCCCTCCTGTGTGCTTGTGTTCTTGAGTGACCAGAATTTTATGTTCAAGTGTTTTTCTGTTTCTTTCACTTGGCCTTGCAGGATTGAAAATTAGTGTTTGAGATGACTAAATATTCTGCCTGGTAGCAAGCAATGAAACCTTACTTTTTATGAGCTCATGAACATCCATGTTAACATTTGGTTTGGTCTCATACTGAGTTTAATATCTCGTGCATTCTGAAATTTGGACTGGAATAACTGTTCACAAATCAGCTTATTTCACGTATTTGGGGAGAAAAAACAAAACGTGTCATTCTCGCTGTAAAAGTTGCATCTCGTTTGAAGCGAAATGAGGTTCAGAACTCTCAGTTGTGAGACTTTTTCTTTCAGTTTTACAGTGCGTCTGGATTTGATACATTTATGACTAATCTCCTGCTACAGCCATCACGCCTACAAAAACATTTGGCTACCTCGTATGTGGTTGTTTTCAAAGGGTGTATACTGTTAAAAAAAACAGAAGGAAAGCGAGAATGAGAGACTGGGAGAAAATGTGCCTAAAGGGACTGTGTCTGCCCCCTCCCCCCATCCCCCCCTTCAACTCTCCCCCTCCTCCCCCGGCCCATTCCTCCCTCCCTACTCCATGAGCAGAGCTGGAGAAAGGAGACCAGGACACAATCTAACTACCTTTGTTAATTTAGCTCCATAAACAGCAACAAATTCCAAGAGAGAAGAAGAGAGAGAGAGATTGACACATTTGAAGAAGGCAGCGCTTTATGCAAACTGTAACAAGGCAAAATCCTAAAACCGCTCATATGCAAGAGCCTTTATTATTGTTTATTTTTGGGGATAAAGCCCAACTTTAACACCCTTTTAGGAGATGTTGTGTTCATGGTTGGAGGGAGATAAAAATACAAAATCATGAGGTTACCCTTAGAAGAAATACTTACAGTCCTCCTATGATGATAACAGTACAGTACAGGGCATAATGTAAAAATGTATGATCAAGGCCATTATTCAATTGGATACAAGCTGATAGCATATAGGGAAATGAGGTGTTTTTTTTGTCAGGGACCTGGTGGGAATAAAAGCCAGTGGATGTTGTTCAGAGTGTCATACTTCAAATTGAAGTGATTTCTAAGTCTTAGACCCTTTTTATTGATAGAAACGTATCAGGGTTTGTCTCATGGCTTTATTTTCCCACGTTAATGCCAACACAGGTCGCATTCATATTCATGCTGCTCCAGTCGGCAAGACAGGAAGAGAGTGGGAGAAAAGGGGGGAGAGAGGGAAGGGGAGGGAGATCTGTTTTTCCTCCTCTTTTTCTCCATCTCTCTCTGAATAAAAATACCCTCAATCCATTTCGAGACATGCTTAGAATAAGGAGCCATCGATTATTTTCTTTTTTTTTTCTTTCTCTTTTTCTCTCTTCCGTCTCGGGTTACAAGCAGGAATGTGTCTCCTCTCTCTCTCTCTCTCTCTCTCTCTCTCTCCCACACACACACACACACACACATCAACACACATGCACACAGAGCACGCACACACAGAAGCCTGCGTGCGCACGTGTCTTAATGTAATGCAATGACCTGCTAGAAAAATTAATATACGGATGTGCGTCCTGCTGACAAAGCTGTGTGTGTTTTTGAGAATAAAAAAGATGTACTGTATATTATGTGTTTGTAAAGAAAGAAAAAAATGCAGAATCCCAAAATTAAATTGTTTTATATTCTTACGGTTAAAACAATTAAAGATATTTATATAATGAACGAAAAAGAGCGGTGTGGACTACTTTTGTGTAGCTGTAGCACTTCATTGTTGTCGTCATTGTGTCTGTTTTTATATAACAAGAATGTGAAAATGATCCAGGTAATTTGACATTGTTTGAATGATATTGTGTGCATGCAGGGCCTTTTATTATGAAGCGTTAGTCCTAATAACCACCCACACATTTCTGTCCTTCATCAGCCCAGTATTGTTGCACAGACAGGAATGAAAAACATGTTGTTTTATTATTAACGAGGAGAATCAAAATGGATACTTGCCGTCTTGATTTGGCTGCAGCGCCTGTGTAATTAATTATCACCAGGGCGTTTATTATAGGAAGCTGTTCTACCCTGCTGATTTTTTTTAATCATCAACGTCTGTTTTTGCATCTTCAAATGCATCCAAAAAGAAGGTGGAAAGCTCATCTGGTAGCACGATTTGGCTCTCAAAAATTCAAAATACAAAAAGTGGGGGTGGGGGGGTGGGGTTCCTTTTTGGTGAATTTCATGATGAAAGTTGAAGGTCTTTGTAATGAGTATAGATTCTTCTTTTTTGTGTGTGTGTGTTTTATGCCACATGAGGCAGAGCTGCGTCTGTGTGGCTGCATGTGCAGAGTAATGAGATCTAAAGTTGCTCAGAGTAGATTTCCCTCTCCCTGCTTTCCATCAGGACGTGTCCTGTGTGTGAAGCGACACCACCCACACACACACACACACACACACACACACACACACACACACACACACACACACACACACACACACACACACACAGGCACACAGAGGGTTGCCAGACCAGTCAGTAGCCATTGTCTGTCTTTAGAAGTTAGGAAGGCAGGTTTTGGTGGGGGATTTTTTTTTCTTTTCTCCTCCTCTTGTTCAGTCACGCATACCAGATCCTAGACCTGGCAGGAGACCCCACGGACACACCCCCCCCCTCCCACACACACACACAAACACACACACACACACACTCCTTCTTGTTCCCCCTTCCAACCACACACACACACACACACACTTTTTAGCATTCCACACCATCATTCAAAGCATTTAGGCATTCTCCCTCTCCTGACTCCCGGTCCATGGGGATTTCAGGGATAAAGGCCAGCAGAGGGATTGCTGACCACAGGGACAGAAAGAAAGAAACAGGACACAGAGAGAGAGAGAGAGAGAGAGAGAGAGCGAGAGAGAATTTCAGTGTTTGCTGTTTCTTAAGTTTGCTCTAGCTGGTCTTTTAGTCTTACGCAATACAACAAAAACGAAAGCACGCGGAGATGTGACATTTAGTACCGCTTTCCTTCCAATAAAGAACCAAAAATCTGAAAAACAACTACTTTAAGCTACAAACTTCTTTCACTGGTGTAGTTCGTCTGCACTGTCCTAGCTTTGAGAGGAAAAATGACTTACCAGAATGTGTGCCTTATCTGCATGTGTTTGTCATAGGTTGAATCCTGAATACTGTTTCGGTCAACAAAGGAAACAGAAGAAACTCAAAGCTAAGTGGTGTGACATTGTAATAAATTGTATCTTGAATGCAGATAAATGAATAGAGGAACGGGAGGTGAACAACATAGCCAATTGATTCTTTATCATTTGACATTTGGGTCTGCAGACCTTTCACAAAAGATACAGGAGACGTACCGTGACAAGGTCACATCACGCATTTCTAACTGAAAGGTCTGCAGGCTCACAAGGATACAATCGGCTGCATTTAAATGATAATGTGATACTTTATTAATCCCCATTGGGAAAACCTCTTTTTGTCTGCCACCCTCCACAGGGAGGTCAGAGATCAGGCTCGGCTCCAGAAAACGCACTGCTGCAGCTACCGGGGATTACAGTGTTTTGCTCAAGGACACTCCAGCAGGGTGGTGGGTTGTCATGTTTTAACATCAGGTCACATTGCCTCCCCGTTCTCCTTTTCTGCTTGTTTGTGAGTCCTTGCAGGCCACCTGTGAAGCAGCAGTTCTGACTTTCTTCTACTATTTTTGGAGTATTCAGCATTCTATAGTAACAGAGCATAATATAACCCTCTATTGTATACAATGCAACATTAACATTGCTTCCTATGAGAAGAACTACGGACTTAAGAAGGTGCTACCAAGTAAGATCATTTTAATGTAACTGCAGATTATTCCAGTTTTTTTATTCCAGTTTTAGAAAGGCCACACTCCTGAGTACAAAGTACGTCCTTTGAGCATGCTAGTACAGAACAAATTGTAATTTTACACTTCCATATTTCCCTTTTCCTCTTTTTGCACAGTTCTGCTTCTCTTTTGTGACAGTTACTAAATAAGCCCTTTACCCAAAGGTGTTGTTCCGTGTTTAGGATTCTCCATCTAAAATTGATATTTAGTTTTCAGTTTCAAACATTTCAACAGATTTAAATCCTACATTCACTAGCGAGGGCTTGTTTGCTGTCTTGACATGAGTTCATTCAGAGGATCAATACCGTTTTCATGGAACATAAGTGGATTGACTCTAGTGGGTTAGCTTAGCCTAATTTAGCATCAAGATGGAAAGCAGGGGGTAACAGCTAGCCTAGAGCCTAAAACTACACCTCAGCAGCTCACTTAACACAATATGTAATTTGTTTAATCTGTGTTAACACTGGGGTATCCCCTGGTTGTCTAGTAATATCTGGTTATGTCAAGATAAATTTGAGAACAGAACTCCCTGGAAAACCCCCATCTGATTTTTGCACTTTGTGTGGCATACACAAAACAGTTCTAACATACTTATTAGTGAGCTTCAGAGCAAGTTGTTTCCCCATGTTTACAGTCTTAATGCTAAGATAAGCTATCTAGCCGCCTCGTGTTAACTACACTGATGTGAGAAAGTCATAGATCTAACTCTGGAAAGACAGCAAATAAGCACAATTCACAAAACTTTTGAAACATCCTTGGCCTGCAGAGTGCCGAGGATCAAGGACAGGAAATGAAGTTTGTCGCTTGAAGACATGATCAAAAATGTTTTTTCGTATTATAATGGTTGTTTTTCTCCAGCTCGGCCCACTTCCCTGCGTTGATAAACTCCCCCACCAGATTGAGCAAGGCACCAACGCTGCCACTTTTAAAGGGGTTCATTTTCCCTGGCTTAACTCAAAGGGGTTTTTTCTTTGTGGCAGCCATGCAAAAATAAAATGGGTGCACTCTCTGCTCTGGAAGGCTGCGAGGATCAAACCCCTCACCAAACGGCTTTATGATAAGAATATATCTCGCTCTCTGTGTGATTCACTCTTCAAGCCTACACATCCCGCCTGTCTGAATGATTGACAGCTTCGACACAAGCTAATTCAAAAAGCTTACAGGCACCTAAATTAGACAAAGAGCCGCATTTCTGCGCCATATAGGTCACTGACGAACCTTTTGATTCGATAAACACTGCTGTTTTTTTCAAATGAAGTTTGGCGTGCAAGTAAGTGTGTGCTTTTGGCCCCGCGAATTGTAAAAGTTGAACTGCGACTCGTCACTTTTATGCTCTGAACCGCATTTCCTGTCAGGCTGAGAGAACAAGTCGTGTGTGTGTGTAAGAGAGAGTGTGTTTTACTGCTATCATTAAAGGGATAGTTCACCATTAAAAGGGGAACTGGGGTTCTTCACAACAAAGCAGCAGGGTATTAGCAGCAGAGTGTTACTGCCCTCCCCCACATGTCTCTGTCTTTGGCTGCGACTCCTTGTCTCCTGTGCTGTCTGTCTGTCTGTCTGTCTGTCTGTCTGTCTGTCTGTCTGTCTCTCTGTCTGTCTGTCGTTCTGGCCTGTTTTAGGTCTCTGCCTGTCTGTTGGTCGGCTTTCATCTTTGTTGTTTTTAGCTCTCTCCTTTTTCTTCCCCTATTTTTTATTTAAAAAAATGTAGGCTCCTTCTACTCGCCTACTTCCCACTCTTGTCTACTTCTCTGATTTTCTACTTGACTCAGTCTTCTTCCCCCCTTTCTTCCACCTCCATCTTTTTCTCTGTCTCCCTTTCATGCCCTCTGTCTCCCTCTCCCTCCCCTCCCCTGTCTCCTTCTCCCCCACCTCTTAACCCTCAGCATTTCCATTTCTACCCTTCAAGCCGCCCCTCCTTCCTCCTCTCTGCGGCACCTGGTGTTGAGGTGTCGCTGAGGTACAGTAGACGGCTCTTTGAAGTCCCTGGGGCCCCGGGGGGGGGGGGGCTCTACGTATGTGTGGGTGAGTGTTGTGTCAGGAAACTTTTTTTTTTTATCAGCAGCTCCAGTCAAGAACATTTGGCGTTGCTTTTGATTTGGGCGTCTCTGATGCTGAAACGACCTTCTCTGTGCAAGGTGTTAGTACATGTGTGTGCGCTGTGTTTCCTGGTTATAAAGCAGTGGAATTTAAATTGTTATTACCATTCCTGTTGGACTTTTATTGACCAATCAAAAAAGGGCTGTTAAAGGGGCAGCTCAGGGTGTTTTAAAAGAACATTACTTTTTTTTCAGTGATAACTTTAAGGAAATGAAACCACAAAAAAACATAACAAGCTGTAAACTTTGATTTCAAATAAGACAATTACACACCAGAATAATCATGTGAAGGGTGACATAATGTTTTAAAGCACTTTGGAGAAGAAAATGGCATGTATGGTTGGTGACTTACTGGATTTAAGGTTGGCACGGTTGGGGAAAAGAGGAGAGGAAGAGCAGAGGAAAAAGCTTGTCCCAAAGCACGTCCTAAAGTCTGCAATAGTCAGCACGCGACCTGGAGAGAGATAAACGGAGAGGAGGCGTTAAGGTGGAGAAAGAAAATGAAAAAAAAAAAAAAGGGCAAAAAGAAAAAAAAAGGAGAGAAAGGAAAAATAATTGAGGGTGAAACAGATGAGAGAAAAAGGGTGGCTGGTGAGAAAGTAAGTGGGAGAGAGAGAAAGAGGAATCTGTGAGTCACTGTTTAACTGTGGGCTGCTAGAAGTCGGCTAGCCATGTTAAAATACCGTCTGGACAAGCACACACACAAACACACAAACTCACACACACACACACACATTAAAAGTTTATGCAAAACTCCAGCCCAAGCCTCTCTCAGACTTCTCTGCCCAACAGACCAGCTAATTATTTTCAGTCGGACGTCAGGCACGCACACACCTCTGCTTCACATTCCTCACAGAGTAATGAGCTGCTCTTCTACAGAGGTAAGAATTTAGACCAAGGTCAGAAATAAGTCTTTCCACATCTTTGCAAGTGTTTCACTTTGCGGGAAATGGTGGGAGTGACATCATCAGACCGCTGCAGGATTCATTATTGACGATTTCTCTGTTGATTAATTATAATCCATTCTTTTTCCACAGGAGCCTTCCTGGCCAGAGATGGTGGTGCAGCTTTAACTCTTCTTGAAACATGTAGTAAATGCAAAATAATTCTCCTTTTTAAACTGTCTTTTCGAGTGTCACTTTCTGCTCTACACACAATTCTAACACTGTTAATTTAACCTTAGGATTATGTTTTCAATTACTTGATTAATTGCACTGACAATTAAATATTAAGACTTGTGTAAATCAGTTGTAATGAAAGATACAACAGAAAACTCAAAGTACTTGGTCTTTTTTCGATTCTCAGATTTGTTTTGAAATTTTCAAAATCCAAAACAAAAAAACGCCAACCAGAATTTACATTTTTAGACACTTCAGATCCATTATTACTCCTTTAGCATCACATCAAGACACATTGGTGTCTTTAAGCTAAATGCTGACATCACGTTTACAAGCACAGAGCTAATAGTTCAATAATGATTAGCTAATAATATTCACAAGGAAGACCTGCTAAAGCTTCACATGTTAGCATGCTAATATTTAGCACAAAGTCCAATTAAGAAAGATCGTATGAAAAGTCACACTCAGGGGAATGTGCTCATCGTGGAAGTTGAACAGGGAGCTTTTTAGGAGTATCATGAAAAGCTAATTTGATGTCATCTAACCTTAAACATTCAGCAATCAAGATATTTTAAACAGCGAGCCAGACATTGCCATCTCAAAAGATCACATTGCTAGCTTGGCTAAAAACACCATCATGTGTATCACAAGCATAAAAAGTACATCCACTTTTTTTTATTTTTGTGACCAGTCAATTTCATCTTAAAAGCAGAAAACTGCCCCATTTGAGAAAAGACAATACCAGATCATCTTTAATAATCAAATGAGTGAAAAGTTGAACTATACTGTAATTGTTTTCGCGCTTCTTTGGAATATTTTGCACAATCTACACAGGGAAGACCAACACATCACGAGCTCCTCTGGGTGTTCATCTGCTTATTAATTTATCACATACTGTTATCAGGTCATTCACTGCTCTAGGCCTTTTGCTCATTAGGCAACAAATGAATAAATTAAATCATTCTCTACGTCTCATTCTATTATCACAGCTGTAACAGTAATCAAAGGTTTTAGTCTGTAAATGCATTCCCGTGACAGAAGGCCTTAGACTTTTTCTTCAGTATTTGTGCTATTCAAGCTAAGTCTGTTACTCAAATTTAAACACTAAGCAATAGCCATTCAAGGCGGTTTTGAAGGATCCATGGTTCTAGAAGATTTTAAGAGAAAACAACATCCTAAATCTTTCATTTGGAACCACAGGACCTCACGTCATTCACAATCAAACCATGGACGATGTTGCTGAATCTTTTATAAAAGCCTCGGCAATTATAATGGGAGACCGAGAATTATGCAGCATGTGATGTTGACTCTTGCTCCATATTCCTGCTCAGTTCGACAGAACCCAGCGGAGAAAGACAGCGTAGAGGACGGACAGAGAGAGACAAGGAGAGAGAGAGAGAGAGAGAGAGAGAGAGAGAGAGATGTGGATTCATTTTGGATTTCTTTGTCTCGATGTGAAACCACGTGAAGCCCTGACAGAAAAGTGGCAGATTCCTGCAATGTCAAACTCTGGCAGGCTTGCACACATTTCTAAATTGTCAGGTGAGATAGTGTTTTGGTAGCGTGGGAGGTGTGCTGCGCTGGTGTGTGCGCTTCCTGTCTGTGCGCATGTGAGGCAAAGTCTGTGTGCATAATGCATGCACACAGACAGTTGTGTCTTAAAATCTCTGCCGGCTCCCCGTACCTGCCTGTCAGTTTGGCTTGTCATTCAAACGTCTATGCAGAGAAACTTTTTCTTGCTCTTTGCACATTTTAAATTTTGTCATGCTCAAACAGAGGAAATGGGCAGAATGGTAGACAGAAAGCTGCAGCAACAGTGGAGTGGGGAAGGATCACATGTTTGACAGGAAGTGCTGTGCAATGGAACACAGTTTTCACCACGTTAACAAGGAGGATGTGTGTGTGTGTGTGTGTGTGTGTGTGTGTGTGTGTTGGGGGGTGGTGCTAGGAGCATTTGGAGGGCAACTGTAGGAAGGTAAGAAAGAGTGTCAGGTGTACCTTTGTTTTAATGACGAGAGCTATGAGAAGATGAACATCTCACATAGACAACTCTGAACATGAAGCCGAATGACTGTTAGCTTAGCATAAAGACAGAAAGTATGGAATCACAGCTAGCCTGGTTCACCTTTTTTCCTCTTGTCTTATGATTCGAATCAAAGAGTTTTTAACTGAATTGCCGTCACCACAACTGGACCCAGCAGAGAGTGAGGCTACTAGTTAGCAAAGCTGGTTGACTTCCGATTTCCCAACCCTGATCACAATAAAATTCAAAAGATCCAATAACAAAGCTGATGGAAATTACACTTATTTAAAGACAGGTTTTAGGATGGGAAAATATATATCTTGCAAAATTAAGAGCATTTGTATTTAAAAAGACCTGGAAAGCTGTTCTGCAATAAGAAGTGTTTTGGTTTACATGATTTAATTTGTGGAAAAATATTTTTATTTACCACTGATTAATAAAAAGGAACTCTGACGTTCTTAGAAACCTGGTCCCCAACAGGGTCTGAAGTCATCACCTGCAGTGAACCTGATAAAGCCAAGAGTCAGATCACTTCCTGTTCAATCCAATTAAGCAGGAAGTGGACATTCAAGCCATAAGAAAATCCCCATCAGAACAGTTATTTAATATTCACTATATAAAAGCATTATTGAGACAGAGTGGTGCTCTTATCTCCCAGTAAATGAATTACAGTTTCAATTTGCATGCTGAGTGAACTGAACTGAAAGTGCCTCAGACCCAGAGCGCCAAGAGAGCTGTAGTGCGTCTGATAACCACGCTGCAAATTCAGGGTTTCGCCAAAATGGATTTTCACTTGTGTAAAAATCATTGTTAGAAATACTTTTGTGATTGGCTTATAGATGTGTGACTGTAAGAAGTGAATGGCACACATATATTGACAGCTTCATTTCTGTTTTATTATCTGAGTTTTAGATTTTGTTAAAGAGAGGAATGTGTGGAATCAACAATAAGTACTCAGTTCATTTTCTGTCAGTTAAATGATCCAAGGAAGATTTTGGATCAGGAGTGAAATCTCTAAAATGAAGAATTTTAGAACTTTTTAAAACTTATAGAAGACGTTTGGAACCATGTAACTAACAACATTTAATTTAAATCTTAAGTGACATTTTTTCATTAAGTGACTGTTTGTAGCGTGTGCTGAGAGCTGCTCCTCCATCTGTGCAGGTTGAACTTTCCTGACCGAGGAGTGGCACAGACCTCACCTCTTCTCAGCTGGCTCCACAGATGTGATGGGACTGGAGAAAACCTGCAGGGCCTGGTTTTGTTTGCTACTTGAGCACAGCGTGTCACTAACATGGAGCTGCAGCTGGATAGCCAGACAGGATTTTACTCTGATATAAGAAAAGAAACAAAAAATAACCAATGAAAGAGACTTGGTTTTAGAAATGGAGAAGAGAAAAAATAATGGAAGAGCAAGAAGATTAGGTTGACATAAAATGTGATTGCAGCTTTAACAGAATAAAGAGTGAAATGAATGCCTGAGAAATAGACGTTTAAAACTAGTGAGGGGATTGAGAAAGAGACATGAGAGGTGGAGAGAGAGAGAGAAACTAAGGATGGAATACAAAGAGGGCCTGTGTGTATGCGTGTGTATGCGTGTGTGCGTGTGTGTGTGTGTGTGTGTGTGTGTGTGTGTGTGTGTGTGTGTGTGCGCGCGTGTACATCTACCGTCCCCAAGGTCCTTCTAGCTGTCTTCTCCTATTGATTAGTTTATATTGATCTGGCCTGGCACGTACACTCTGACACACACACACACACACACACACACACACACACACACACACACACAGACACACACACACACACACACACACACACACACTTATACACGAACGCTGCATGCATGGTTGACTTGATTTAGCCGGGCTCTGACATAGGGGACACGAGGGTACATTGTTAACACACCAGCAACCATGCGCACACACACAACTGCACACACTATCCCCCTATCATTCTGCCGTTTAAAATGACAACCACCTTCTCTCTGACACACACACACACACACACGCTCGCACACACACAGCACACACACTTGTCAAACAGCAAACACTCACTCTGCCTATTTGCTCATGTGCACTGGCTGTCTGGCAGGCAAGCAGGCAGAAGAAACAATGAGCATGTATGAGACAGACTGTCAGTAGAAAACTCTGTGTTCTCTTCAAAACTGATCAATCTGGTAACTTCACCGTCTGCCACATGTAACAGTACGCTAGATTGTGTACATTTTAAACAGTGGATGATGTCAACAATTCCTTTATTATTGACAAACCCCAACAGCACTGATATATTCTTATTAGCATGAAAAATGAATCA